TTGCTTTTGGCAAAACGCAATCAGCAACCCCGACCTCACCCCACTCTTGACGAGAAAAGCAATTAAGGCATTCATTTACTGACTGGGAGGAGAAAAAAGCAATTGTTATGGTATTTCCTTCATCTTCAACATATGTGTATAATTTTCAACCTCATAAAACTGGAAAACCTCATAAACCTGAATAAACAGTACCGCTAAGATTATCATTATGAATGTTTTTGTCAATTACGAGAGGGCATTTTCCTAATAAATACGATAATAATATTGTTACTTGTTAATATTTTGCGGGATTGTCCCTTTCCAATGTCACAAATTAAAAATGCAACAACCGTTTTCAGGGCCAAAAAAGGCAAACCTATAAACAGTTATAAATAACATTCATTATAACTGTTATACAGGCTACCAAATCCCTTAGAAAATATAATATAGAAGTGTCGTACCAGTAGCCGAGTGCTTAAATCGCTGAATCGTTTAAACGCAAGCAAACGGTCTGTATTCATGGTCGGTTTTGGCGGTTTTCCCATGTGTAACATGAATATGAGCTTGTTTCCTTTAGAAAGTCCTCAACGAAATGCATCTCACCCCTTAGTCAGATATCTCTTGTGTGCTTGCTATATTCAATCAACCTAACCTAACATACGGAAGTACTGATCAATTAAATTAACTATGGTAGAAGAAACAAGGGTTTCTGTCTAGAGGAAGAGATGGCTTCGTGGGGAATTTATAAGGGTAAAGGACCTTTTTTTTTACAACACACTGAGGGACTTCTATGCAGTTCAGAGCTTACAAAAGTCATTACAAACAACTCGCTGCATACTGCCAGTGTTTCAAGGCTTAAGCAACTCAATCATTAATGCACTTGACTTGCAGATAATCTAAGGAAAGGAAAAACCAGATATTTTTCGTATATGCTTGTAGTTTTTATACCTCAAAGGAAATGTATGGTTTTAGCCTAACTTCTACAGTCATTCACAGATTCTCAGCGAGCTGAATCAGTCTGCTTTTTATAAATTGAGAGCTGTAAAAGCAATATATTCCTTTGCGCGAAGCAAAAGACCCACCTTTCACGCCCCGTTCACGCATAGACATTTCATTCAGTAAAGGATAAAAAATTTTAATTTTAAAATACAAGCAAACTGTCATTTAATACGGCAAATGTCTTAAAGCAATAAGCACTTCTTAGAATTTATTTTTTTATCTTTTTTAGTTTCTTATGAATATTTGCGCTTTATTTACTAATATAAGATATTTTCTAATGTTATAATTTTAATGATTAGTGAAATTGATTGGTAATGATAATTAATTGAATAGAATAGTTGATTCTTAATTTTTATATTTGTTTCCACAATTAAAGCTTTATATTTTTCTAACAATTTAATACAGGATATAAATTTTCATATATCTGCTAAAAAGTGTCAGAGTTTTTAAAATCACAAATTAAAATCAAATTAACGTCTTTAAAAACTAAAAATAAAAATTTCCCCCTCATTCACTGCTTTGGTAGCAACAAGCCACATAAACTCTTAAAAATTAAAAGAAAATATCTTACTATTAGATTTTCCAAATTTATTTATCTTACTTTTAACTAAGCGAATGGTCTTGGGGGGGGGGGAATTTGACAAAAACTGCAAGGAATACATTGTTAGCTCTCCTGGTTTCAAGTTTTAAATATCATAAAATTAGTATTCGTCACATTTCGATAATAGTGAAATATTTCACATCAATTAAGACAATGAATAGCATACCCTACATTTTACACTATGATGAACTATTAATTTCAACTGCAGCTTCACTGCATAAAAAATTGTTATTTAAATACGCTGGATTTGGCAAGAAGTTGGCAAATGTATAGCAAATTGCAGGAATTGAATATCCGCGGGCAGTGTACTACGTATGGATAACTTGAAGAACAGGGTGAAAAGCTGTGAAAAGGTCGTTCTACCCTTGTATGCGTTCTCAGGTTAGCTTCCTGCGAAGTATAGAACAATCCAATTCAAATTCAATGACAAAAGAGGGTAACGAAAATTATTTTAAAACATTATTTTTCTGTTGACGATATGCAATATGCATTACATTTGGCAAACAAATTAGATATTTTTAACAAACTAACAGCACAACATAAGAACCATATTAAGCTACATGAAAATTACTACACAGGAATGAACCATTATGTAGTACTACTACATATTCAGATGAAGACGAACTAAGAGACCCGGATATTCGGTCTCCTATAAGAAAATATACTAGAATCACAACGTTCCTAGATGAACTCCAGTGATGAGGCATGGTAATGTAATTTTAATTGAAAAAAAAAAAAAAAAAAGTGTTTACAATTATGACTTCAAAAATTTTCAATTTTATATTTAACAAAAAAAATTTTTTTAATGTTACTTTTTTTAATTTTCGCACTTGAAATGCAATCCCATTTTTTGCAGTCTCAAACAACAGTTTTAAAGAATATGAAACCAATTAATCATGCTCTTTGAGGGTAGCCTGCAGTATCAAATTGGAAAAACTAATAAAGCATTAAATCAATGCAGTAAAACTTTTAATTTTTGAAGATTTTAATTGCACCTATATGCAAATTTAGTTTTCAATAAAAATTGAAAAATTTGGGGATATTCAGACTAATTAAGGATATTACTTTTACTGAAAATAAAGATAATGTCAAACTGGATTAAGTTATGATAATTTACATATCAATTAATTAGAAGGCTTAGGATTAACAAATACATTTGTGTTAATTACTCGTATTATCATTATATGTGTCACCAAAAATTAAAATATCCCATTTCAGCAAAAGCACATTTGTTTATCAGTTCTTAATCATTTCTGCAAATATGTGATTATTGTACTTCCTCATGTAATTTTCCCCTTTTTTTATTAATTTTACCATCTTAAAATTGCGAGGGGAAAATTATGCGACTAACTAATTTCCAAAGGTCATTTTTACAATACAACCATAAGAAATGAAAAGTTGTCACGGATAAACTACCAGTAACTATGACAATATTATTTCTTCAAAAAAAACCTACATTCCAAAAAGAACACATGGTACAGTCAAAAGTCGTTAATTCGGACAACCATAATCTGGACCTCAAAGCTAAAAACTTTCTGCGCATGCGCCTCGTTGAACACGCCAGAAACCTTCGACTGCGTGTTGTGCGCAGCGCAGAATACGTTTTTGCTGCGCGTTTTATGATAACGGACGGTATAAGCTAAAATTATTTAATTACTATTTCATAATGTTGAGAATGCATGTTCCTTAACCTTCGAGTTGGATCCGGCTTATTATTTTTTGCAGACTGTAAGAGCAATTTTATAAAAGTAAACTTGAATTTCCATTATGTCAATTTCCGATGCTGGAGCTCCCAAAGGATCTACAAAACGAAAGTATGTTTCGATGTCTATCAACAAAAATGGAATTGCTGCAAAAAATGGAAAAACAAAAGGTGAAGAGAGGTTAGTAAAACGAAAAATTTCGATTGACAAGGTAGTCGTATTCTCGCACAGCATTACGGGACTTGAAAGCGGAACTTTACGAACAAGAAATTATGTCTGTTATAGAATTAAGAGAAAGTATTCACAAGAAGCACTTAAACAACTTACATTGAAAGAAATGTTAATAAGTAAACAAATAAATATTAAGCTTTTTTTTGTAAATTTTGATACCCTTTAGATCATAATTGGTTCTTTATTCATAAAACGGTTTCCTATTTTAATTTTTAGTTTCATTCCATCTACGAGATTAAATGATGATCTATAATCCGGAATCGCCGAAGTCCCGACGAGTCCGGATTAATGACTTTTGACTGTAATATGATTACAATCTCTATTAAGTTACCTTCCTTTCTGCTTCCCTGTAACTTAAATCTTGCCATGTCTTACTGTTGCCTCTGCTCCTCAAATCATGCATAAATAATTAGAGAATGTGAACGTGCAACTGAATGAAATCATAGCCTGAATCTCAGTTTGTATTTGCTTCGCTGAGATGAGTAGTAAAGCATAAAATGCAACAGTTAGAAAAGAAAGTTTCGGCATGACATCTGAAAACAGTTTGCAAGAGTTTATCTTTTTTAGCAAGACCAAAAACTTTAATACATGGGCAAACCCATTTTAAAATTTAGAGCAGCTCATTCTCTAAATGCACTGAGAAATGGGAGCCATGTACCAATAGGATCCAACTATACCTGCAATTCATAAAATTTCAACATTTTATTTAAATTACAAAATACTTTAAAATTATGAGTAATGAATGGTTCTGTTCACTCAACTACTACTTGGTAGCCAAAATTCAGGGATCAAATATTTACATAAAAAAATTCATATGGATAGAGCTTTCCTACAAAATCTACTTGAGAATTTTAAAGAAATAATATAAGAACAGATTCAAACGCACTATTATAGGGAAAAGTGCAGAATCACTCACTGCTTGGCGCGTTTTTAAGAATTGCACATACTCGGTATCCATGTAGACATCAACCTTTTCACGGACAGAACATCCCAGATGCACAAATGCATTGCTCAATCCTTGCTTTATCCAGTCACATCGACCTATTTTCACTTAAAATGTCAAAGAAAATTGACAAAAATTCAATTCTTCTAACCCTTGTAAAAAGCGCCAAATAAACGCCAATCAAATAAGTGGGCGATTCTGCACTTTAGCCCTAAAATTAATACAAATAAATAGCGTATCCTAAAATACGTTACATTTAAAAATTGCCGACAAAATGTTTCCTACTTATCAAGCAAATGTTCATCGCTTAATACGACATTCAAGAAGATGATCGCATAATTTTGAATGTTGCACTGAAAGCGGATTTAAAACATATTCACTGCAGATAGAATAATTTTTCTTGTTATTATGATAAAAAGAGAGTTTAACTTCCATGTTTAAAAAAAGTCACAGTGACCTTCCAAACTGAAGACAACACTAATCCGTCTTCAAATATTTCCTAATGCTATAAAAAAGTACATAAGACAATAATCTATAACCGCACCTCGGGAATACTTGACTTATCACTTTTTCCAAAGTTCGACTTGCTACGTTCGGGTTTTTTCTCGCTCTGCGTGGAATTTTCATAAATATCTTCGGACGGTGTGTCTACCTTTTTGGAATCTTTATTTCTTTTTATATACCAGTACGCTAGTCCAACAGCTAAAGGAGTACCTACACCTAAAATGATTGCTAAATGCCATTTAGATAACCGAGGCACATTACTTTCAATGGTCGGGGCCATCTTGTTTACTGCCGCCAATGCCAGATTCTAAAGATTATTGTAGGCAAGAGGTTAAAAAGTCATTTCAGCTGTTGCCAAACCGAAAGAAAGAAAGACAGACAAAGTAGACAGATGTCTTTTGTTGCACCCGCTAAGGGGTCTAGCCTGGACACCTGTCGAGATCGATATCGGAAAAC